GACACTGCAGGAAGCTGTCTGACACCAATCAGATCAGGGTCACTGGCACAACCACACCTGAGAAGCAGCCTCAAAAGCCAGCACCGCGCTCATGCAGCCACAGCTATTTCAAGGAAATGAAGCCACTCAGGCCCTGGGCTCTGCACAGGCAAATCGTAATTCAGGAGCAGGAAATGCATCTGAGCCATTCAGCCCCTCCCCACTCCCTGCTGCCCATCCTGTGACTCCGATTTCTTTCTTTTTTCTTTTTTTCTTTTTTCTTTTTTGACAGGCAGAGTTAGACAGTGAGAGAGAGAGAGAGAGAGAGACAGAAAGAAAGGTCTTCCTTTTTCTGTTGGTTCACCCCCCAAGTGGCCGCTATGGCCGGTGCAATCCAGCTGGCACACTGCGCCAATCCGAAGCCAGGAGCCAGGTGCTTCCTCCTGGTCTCCCATGTGGGTGCAGGGCCCAAGCACTGGGCCATCCTCCACTGCCTTCCCGGGCCACACGGCAGAGAGCTGGACTGGAAGAGGAGCAACTGGGACTAGAATCCGGGGTGCCGGCACCACAGGCAGAGGATTAGCCAAGTGAGCCGCGGTGCCGGCCATGACTCCGATTTCTATCCACAGCATCACCAGCCTTCTGGGTGGGCAGATTCGGGTCATCATTTGCTCACAAACCTTAAGTCTGAGAAATTCTACCAACTCCATTGACTGGCGGCCTACCACACGCAAGAAGGCACTAGCAGCCCCTCCTACCGAGCTAAGCCTAAGACCCCAAAGCTAGTCAGTGACACAGCCAGCATTCAACCCGCTGACCCCAAAGCACTTCCTGGTCATGCATGACAATGACCCGGAAGCTTTTAGAAAGTGCAGCTTCCCTAACCTACTGAATCTTGGTGCCTGGGGCAGAGGCCAGGAAGTTGTATTTTTCTAACAAGTGCCCCAGGAGAAGCTGATGGGCCCCGCCCTCCCCCCCCCCCAACCCAGACTAGACCACACTGCCTCCCTGGGGAAGGGCGGCCCGAGCGGGTGACAGTAAGGGGAAGCCACGGTCACCCTCACCAGGCTCCTCCTCCTCAACCTCACAGCACCAGCTTAATCACTGGGGGCTGGCAGAGTCTGAGACAGGAAGCACTGGCGCCCCTCTCACTGAACAGTGCGCCTGTGCCAGGGACAGGCTGCGAGTCACTCAGGCGGGGCCCCAGGCTGACCATCGGCAGAGTGAGGGGCGACGGGGACACTGGGCACGTGTGTTCTGTGGCCCTCTGAAGGGGGCTGCCCCCACCCTCTGCACTCATCCTGCCTCTCTGCTCCGACACTCGAGAACAAATGCCAAGAACTGAGAGTCAAGTACCTGTCTGGTCACAGAGAGGACGGATTCAGAAGCAGAGGCATCGGCAGGCTTGACGCCGGGGCAGCCGGGGCACAGTCCCCCTCCTGAGCTGCCTCCTTCGGGGAGGATCTGGCAAGCTGGCCAGCGGCAGCGTCTGGTGAGCAGAAGGTCAGCTCACTAAGAGAGGAAGCTGACCTTCTGCTCGCTAATAATGCCACGGTCAGAGACCGGCCCTTAAGTAAGCTCGGTTCCCTCGCCTTGCTTCTAAGGTCACAGATAGGCCCCCCAAATCCTGCCAACCTGGTCATAAAAGGAAGCAGCCAGAGTGTAGACAGATCAAAACAAATCCAGCAGCACTCGTGGAAACAGCCAATCGGGTGACCACTGGCGGATGGAGACCCGGTAGCATCTTGCGTTTGACGGACAGCGCATCAGAAGTGACCTCACAGCGCCTAATCAGTTCCAGAGACGGGCTTTGTTCTCCTGGAGGCAAGGTGGAAGATCAAAGCCTTTCTTGCTAATCATCATTTAGCATTAATTACTTGCTAAGTAACCAAATCCCGCTCCAGACCGCGCACCCTGACAGCCTCAGTGAGCGCCCTTGATCTTTCAACCCAACCTGCATCCAATTGGGAGGAAGCCGACTGTGAACCTGGGAACAGGGAGACTCGGGCGGCCCAGGCAGTCAGCCGTTGCTACCTCTTCCTTTTCTGTTAACTTTTTAACCCCACCAGTCAGGAAATGCATAGACACAGCACAGGCCTCCCCTCCCCCTGCCTGCTGCCACATCTCTCCGGGTTACTGATAGAGACAGGCAGATCTGGGGGCAGCCGCCTTCCCGGCTGCAAGCTGTGTGACCCAGGGCAGACCGGCGTGCCGCTCTGAGCCCGCGGTTTCCTGGACCATGGATAGGACGCTGTCCACAACCCAGCCTCGTTGGGATGTAGGTGAATTTATTTGGGTGCAGAAACAACTGGACCACCATACATGTTTCTTTGCAATACGCACCCCACCCCCTGGACTTTTCTGGAGGCTTCTCACATAAGCCCAAGACAGAGGTCTTAGAAGAAACCAACCCGGTCTACACCCTGATCTCGGACTTCCGGCTTCCCCAACGGTGGGGAAATCAATCTCTGCTGTTTGAGGCACTTGTTTAAGTACCCTGCTAAGGCAGCTCTAGAAAATTAATGTAGTACTTCAAATGCATTTTAGAAAACATAACTAAATTGAAAAGAAAAAGACTGCACTTGGCACACCTATAATAAAAAAGACGGATGATCGGCACTGGCGGGGACGTGGCGCAGCGCCGTGGGGATGGGAACCGGTGCAGCCGTCAGCAATCCCCTGCCTAGTCTGAACACCAAAGACAGAAAAATGCACTTTCACAAAGGGGCGGGCATCTGCCAGCGCAGCTGAGACACCGCTTGGGATGTCCACGTCCCACTCCAGGGCGCCTGGGCCGGAGTTCCCACTCTGCTTCCCCCCGGCACCGCGGGGGCAGCAAGGGATGGCTCAAGACCTTGGGTGCCTGCCGTCCATGGAGTTCCAGGCTCCTGGCTTCAGGGACCCAGCCCCTGCAGGCATTTGGGGAGTGACGCAGCATTGGACGTTCTTTTTCCGTCTCTTTGCCTTTCAAGTAAACCACTTGCTTCACAAGAAGACCTGAGCGTGAATGTGTCTGTAGGTGGATGTCTGAGCTGCCTCCACCTCCGGGCTGCCGTGAATGCTGACTTATGTGTGGAGCAGGTGTGCGGCTTCGCGGCTGAGGTGTCCGTGTCCCCCAGCAGAGTGCCCGGGCTGCATCCGCGGCTCCGGCTTCAGGCTGACGCGGAGCAGCAGTGAGATGCTGAGGTGCCGGGGCTCCTCCCACCCACATGGGAGGCCTGGATTGAGCTCCCAGCTCCCATCCACAGCTCAGCCCAGTCCCAGCTGCTGTGGACACATGGGGAGTGACCAGCAGATGGGAGGCCTCTCTCTCAGATCGATCCATGAGAGATTTAAAATGACTCATGTGGGAACAACCCAGCTGCCTTTCGGTATGGGGCGGAACATTACTCAGCCACAGGCAAGAATGAAGCATGGGACAGCCGGGATGGAGCTTAAAAACATCACACTGGAGCAGGCGCTCGGCACAGGGATTGGCCTGCCAGCTGCGACACCAGTTCCCGTCTCTCAGTGCCTGGTTTCAGTCCCAGCTACTCTGCTTCCAGTCCAGCTTCCTGCTGATGCACCCTGGAAGGCAGCAGGTGATGGCCAGCACTTGAGTCCCAGCCATGGAAACCTGGATGGAGGTCCTGGCTCCTGGCTTCAGCCTGGCCCAGCTCTGGCTGCTGTGGGCATTTGGGGAATAAAACAGCGAATGGAAGATCTGTCCCCCACCCCCTTACTCTACCTTGTGCATAAATTTTAAAAACTTTAAAAACCAAGCCAAAACAACACGCTAAGTAAGTTAGATACAAAAGGACAAAATAGCACGTGATTCCACTTCAGGCAAAGCCATGAGGACAGAAAGAAGACTGGTGGTTCCCTGGGGTAGCAGGGAGGGGATGATTAACAGGGGACACTGACTACTGAGATTTCTCTTTGGGAGTGGGAGAGTGTTTCAGAACATGGTGGCAATGGTCGCACAACTCTTCATATACACTCTAAACACATGAGTGATACCTGTGCCTGAAACAGAGAGTGCTAGGGTTTGTATGTCTGACCCCAGAATTCCAGTGCCAAAAACTTGATCCCCAAAGTCCTGTGTTGATGGTTTTGAGGCAGGACCTTAGAGAGGTAAGAGGACCATGGGTCGGTGGGTTATGGGGGGAGAGTGGGCCTGTTAGAAAAGCCAGTGCGGGTGTCTCAGGAGCCCCCTCCCCACCTCAGGACCCCACAGCAAGGTCCCCACTGGGTGCAGCCCTTTGCATTTGCTGGCCTCTGGAACCATCAGAAATTTCTTCCTAAAGCACTCAACCTCAAGTAGTTGGTTACAGCAACAGAAAACGGACGAAGACAGAGGGGTAAACAGCCACAGGAAGCAGGAGGGAAAGGAAGGAAGCAGGGTGGGTGTCTGGCCTAGCATTTAAGCTGTAGCTTGGGACGCCCATATTGGCATGGGAGTGCCTGCGGTCCAGGCTCAACTCTGTTCCCCAATTTCTGGCTTCCTCATGTGCATCCTGGGGGGCAGCCGTGATGGCCCAAGTGGTTGTGTCCCTGCCACCCAGGTGGGAGACCTGGATGGAGTTCTCAGTTCCTGGCTTTGGCCGGACCCAGTCCCAGCTGTTGTGGGCATTTGGGGAGTAAATCAGAGGACGGCAGATATCTTTGTCTCTCTGTCTTTCAAAGAAATGGCTAAAAACTAAAAATGTAAAAAAAAAAGAAAAAGAAAAGGAAGAAAGAAAAAGAAGTAAGAGTAGAGGCAGGCAATCCACCTGACCACAGGGAACCGGCAAGGCATCACTTCCTCCACAATTTTCTGTGTGACCACCAGGGGGCACTGCTGGCAGGTTCCACAACTAAGCAAAACAATTCCCTCTCAAAATCAAAACTTTGCAATGACCAAATTGAGAAAATCATTCCTAACTGGGGTTCCCTGTCCCAGGAGCCCCCCCAACAAGACCAGCTGCCAACACCCACCCATCCTACAGGAGGTGTGAAAGGCGGGGGAAGCGGCCTCCAGCCACAGGCAGGCTGCCTCTTACCTTCGGAGTCTTCTTTGGCCAAGTGACCACGGGGACTCCAGTGATGGCCAGACTGGGGTCGTCATCCGCGTGCTCCTTCAGGACATTCTGTGGCCAAACAAAGGAGCCACGTTAGCCCAGGTGGAGGGGGAGGACTTCAGAGGGGGCTGGCGGTCGCACCTAAGCCAGCACAACACAGATACTCCGCAAAGTTGATGCCTGTGCCCCACCACCCACACAGCCACACAGCCAGTAGAAACCAAGTCTTTAGGGGCCCCTGCATCGCACCCAGCATCCCCCTCTCCAACCCACGTATCACCCAGCGGTCACACCGAGGACACCCAGTACTCGTCCAGCATCACAGACTTGCGTGCCACAGTCCCTCTAAGGTACACACGTCCAACTGGGCACTCAGAGACGCAAACAAATCACAAAAGCGGCCTTGCAGGTCTCGACACCTGCACAGAGCCCTGGCCCTGTCCTTCCTCCAGCCTACCGGCAATGTGTATTCTGACCCTGATGTGTGATTGTGCCTTCAAGGTGAGCCCTGGACATCAGCAGACATTTGGTCTGATTTCACCACGGACAGCATCACCTGGCCAAATGTTGCAGGAAAATGGGCTGCACCGGCCGCCTGCCCAGCTGGGCGCTGGTCTCCTACAAGGCACGTGGTGTTCCTGCTCCTTTGTGAGTGGTTCGAAGGTTCGTGAAGGGTAATTCTGACTCTCCAAATTCTGGCCTTGGATGGAGCTGGCTGACTTTAGAACCTCACCCAGCTGTCAGACACCACTAAACTGCCTGGAACTTACAGGTGAGACAGCCAAGGCTCAGAAAGGTGCAAGGGACGTGGATCCTGCGCCCAACTAGGAAGGGGCAGAGCCCTGAGCCTGCCTCTGGCCCATGACCAGCAGTACCTACACCCAGGTTCTTTTGGCACTAGACGTCCTAGCCAAGGTCACCCCAAACATGGGTTTTCTTGGCTACATCCATGGCATTCTATTAAAAACTGTGTGTAACCCATCACAGGTCTCCTCCAACCCTTGACCATGAATTTCTGGACGTTAGAAAAACATTTCTTCGGAGGCATCTCCGACCTCATTCTCCCCAACCCCCTCACCCAGGTGACTCCTTTCCCTTCTGACTGACTCCACCTGCTGTCCTGCTGCCCAGGGGACCATCTATCTGTTGCCTGATTCTTCGAGCTGTGACCATCACCTCTAACCAGCCGGAAGAACCAACTCCTTCCACTGCTCCCAAGAGGCAGCCAACAGCCCCCACGGTTAAGGTCCAAATCCTGACCCCGGCACCTAGGCAGCATTAAGTGATTGACAAATGCCCCATCCCTGAAGCCTCCACCATAACTAACCCGTGGTAAGCGTCCAGAAAGTAAAATCACACAAGTAATAGCAATGCACAAACCCCGACGAGGGACACTCTATCAAATCCCTGACCAGGACTCCCTGAAACTGAAAAGGTAACGGAAATCAGCCGTCACTGCCAGGAGGCCTTGAGAAACAGGAGAAGCACACGTGACGTGTGCACACATGTGACGTGTGCTGGGTGGGGTCCCAGGACAGACGAAGGATACTAGGTAAAAACCGAGGAAGCCGGAATACGCTGTGGGTTTTAAGGGTAATCTTCACTTTTGTGTCAGTACTGGCTCATTAACTGTAACAAATCTAGTTTGCAGGACCTGCACTGTGGCATAGCAGGTAAAGCTGCCACCTGCAGTGCTGGCATCCCATATGGGCTCCGGTTCAAGTCCCGGCTGCTCCACTTCTGATCCAGCTCTCTGCTATAGCCTGGGAAAGCAGCAGAAGATGGCCCAAGTCCTCAGGCCCCTGTACCCGTGTGGGAGACCTGGAAGAAGCTCCTGGCTCCTGGCTTTAGATGGAGACAGGTCCGGCCATTGCGGCCACCTGGGGAGCAAACTAGCGGATGGAAGACCTCTCTCTCCGTCTCTCTGTAACTCTGCCTTTCAAATAAATAAAATAAAATTTAAAAAAAAGTCTACTTTGCTAACAAAACCTGTTAATAATAATAGGGGAACACCAGGTATGAGGGATGTGAATAGGAACTCTGTGCCACCTGCTGAATTTTTCTACAAGTTTGAAACTGCTCCAAAACAAAGTCTATTAATAAAATACTTTGCAAAAAAATGCCAGACATTCATAGCAGCCACAATAAAGCAAAACAGAATGCTAAAGCTGCCATTTTTTTTTTAACTTATATGCTGCATATTTTAACAGGAATACAGGGCCAGGCCTCTGGCACAGCGGTTAAACGAGCCTGTTGGCACACTTGCATCCCCTGTTAGAGGGACTGTGTCTGGGTCCTGGTTCCACTCCTGATTCCAGTCCTGTTACTGTGCACCCTGGCAGGCAGCAGGTGACGGCTCAAGTATGGAGGTCTCCCACAGGGGTGGCAGAGACCTGGGGTGGAGTCCTTGGCTCCTGGTTCCAGCCTGGCCCAGCCTCAGTCTCAGCTGTTGTGGGCATTTGGGGAGCGGACAAGCAGAGGAGAGCCCTGTCTGTCTTTCCACCCTGAAATAAACAAATACAACCTTAGGGGCTGGCATTGTGTTGTAACCATTTAAGCTGCTGCCTACAATGCTGGCATCCCATATGGACGCTGGTTCGAGTCCCAGTTACTCTATTTCCAATCCAGCTCCCAGCTAATAGCCTGGAAAAGCAGCAGAAAATGGCCCAAGTGCTTGGGCCCTTGCACCCACATGGGAGATCTGGAAGAAGCTCTGGGCTCTTGGCTTCTGCCTGACTCAGCCCAGGTTGTTGAAACTGTTTGGGGAGTGAACCAGCAGATGGAAGATCTTTCTCTCTCTCTCTGTCTTTCCCTCTCTCTCTGTAACTCTGCCTTTCAAGTAAATACAATAAATTAAAAAAAAAATACAACCCTAAAGAGGAAACACGGCTGTCCCTCAGTTCCGGGACCTCCCACAGACAACTTCTGTGGACACTCAAGGTCCCAGCACAAAAGGGTGTAGAGTTTGCACAGCACCCCCTTACATCTTCCTGTCTGCTTTAAATCACCTCTGGATTACGTGCACAGACAACTGTCATACTGCACTGTGAAGGGGAGGACAAGACAAAAGTCTCTGCAGAGGCAGTTTATTTTGCCCAAATATTCTCATTCTGCGGTAGGTTGAGCCTGACACTCTGAAGTGCCAACTGTGCTGGCCCTGTGCAGCGCGCTGCGGCAGACACTTCACGTCCACTCTAGTATTCGAGCCCCTTCACCACCCTGCGACAGGGGCCGCTGTCGTTTCCACAGCACTGATCAAGGGAACCAGCCAGGTCCAGGCAGGTACTAAGAGGTGAGGGCCAGGCTGAGGGCCAGGCTGAGTCTGTATCAAGCCAACTCCAAACTCCGAAACCTGGGCCTGTTGATCACAGTACCACGCAGCTTGTCTTTAAAATGATGGGAGGTGCGCATCCGTAAGGGGATCGCTCACAACAGCCCCAGGACAGAAGCAACCCCGGGGCCTCCAAGGGGTGAATGGTCCACACACTGGAATGCTGCTTTTACCCCAAGAAAGGAAATCCTGACATAGACCACGATGTGGAAGAATCTTGAAGAAGTTACGCTAAGTGATACAAGCCAGACGCACACCGCACGAGCCCAATTCTATGCAGTGCCTCCGGCAGTCACATTCATAGATGGTGGGTGCCAGGGGCTGGGGATATGCAGAATGAGGGGTTAGCTGGGGTGGCTGTTTGCCAGAGCAGTTAAGTCACCACCTGGACACCCGCATCCCATAGTGGAAGGCCTGGTCTGTGTCTCTGCTCCTCCACTTCTGATCCCCCCTCCTGCTAAGGTGCACCCTGGAAGGCAGCCATACCTAGGTCCCTGCCATGCACATACGAGACCTGGATTGACCTTGCAAGCCATGGAGATCTAACTCAGCCACCAATTTCACAGAAAGCATGTCTCAGACCTTCCCCAGTCACAGAGGAGGCACATGTGCCCACAGGAGCCCAAGCATGCAGGAAATCGGGATGTCTTTTAGTGCTTTCCCCTAACAATGCCCTTGACTTTCATACCCTCTACCGCATCCCATTGTATCGGTGATTTTTTTTCTATTGAAAGGTCAGTAAGAGAGAGAGAACTTTCCAGAAAGATGCTCCATGTTCAGCCAGAACCTTTGAAGCCCCTGTCACTGATGGACGCCACGTGTTTCGAGGAGGAATCACCACTCCCCAGACTTCCTGTCCCTTTAGTCCGATCGTCATCCCTAGGCTGACACACTCAGTGCCTCCAAGAGCACGCAGTGAAGTGAAGGATGTGAAAGACTAGGGCAGCAGCGAGTGGCAGGGCCTGTGGCAAAACTGGACACCACAAGCCCTGCCTAAAGATAGCAAATGGGGGCCAGCACTGTGGCACAGTGGGTAAAGCTGCCGCTTGCAGTGCCGGCATCCCATATGAGTGCCAGTTCGAGTCCCGGCTGCTCCACTTCCAATCCAGCTCTCTGCTGTGGCCTGGGAAAGCAGTGGAAGATGGCCCAAGTCCTTGGATCCCTGCACCAGCATGGGAGACCTGGAAGAAGCTTCTGGCTCCTGGCTTTGGATAGACACAGCTCCAGCTGTTAGAGCCATTTGGGGAGTGAACCAGTGGATGGAAGACCTCTCTCTCTTTCTGCCTTTCCTTCTCTATGTAACTATGACTTTCAAATAAATAAATAAATCTTAAAAAAAAAAAAAAAAAGATAGCAAATACCACTCAGTTCCAAGCTACTCTCCTCCAGGGACGAGAAAAGTTCCTACCAGTTCTGATTTCTCTGAAGCAACCCAAGATCAAGATTTTAAATTGAAATATCTACATTTTTAAAGGCTGTAACCAAGTGAAACTCTTTCTTTAAAAACCACTCTGAGGCCGGCGCCGTGGCTCACTAGGCTAATCCTCCGCCTTGTGGCGCCAGCACACCAGGTTCTAGTCCCGATCGGGGCACCAGATTCTGTCCCGGTTGCCCCTCTTGCAGGCCAGCCCTCTGCTGTGGCCAGGGAGTGCAGTGGAGGATGGCCCAAGTCCTTGGGCCCTGCACCCCATGGGAGACCAGAAGCACCTGGCTCCTGCCTTCGGATCAGCGCGGTGCG